CGTGTATATGAGTTTGGGAGTAGGGAGGAGATGTTTTAGGCATACGTTTTCAGAGATTAAGGAATGCTCTGGTATATTTAAGTTGTTACAGCCATAAAGAAGAAAGATTTATCGTTTAGCTGTGGAGCGGAGCTGTGCGGAGCCACCCTGGTCATTCACCTCTCAGCGCAGCATCCTAGCAATGTGGGAATCACAACTAGAGCTTTAATCTGAATATAGGAAATGCTTAAAATAGGACTCTGCTTCACACACACTACAAATTGCACTCTTGTTATGAATGATCTTTGGATTTGGCCTTAGCATCCCTTGGTTCTCAACCCTTCCATAAATTGTCATCACTGACATTCTCATCACATCATTCTTCTATGTCTTAGACACTATATATTTTCTTCAATGTTATTTTGCCTAAAGCTTTTTGCGGTAGTTGATTTACTTTATTCATAAGAGCTTTATCCTTTCAGAAGCTAGAAAACTCTATGGAGTCTTACACACCCCAGGTAGATTTTCATTAACGTTCATTAAAACACCAACAAAAGCTTTCTGCCTTTTGAGGCCTCTTAATTTTTCATTTGTTGTTGAAACTATAACTGGAAAACATCAGTTTGGCATAGAAGTTTGGCAAAATCAAAACATTTTGTCCAATTAAGCTTTTCTTCTTATTATTTTTAAGTGTCCAAAACATGGAAAAAATGCAAATAAAGTTATCTGAAATAGATAATTCCTATGAAAATAGCAAATTAGTGTTTTCCCATGGGAAAGATTTTTCAGTGTGAAATGTTCGGGCGGCACGGAGTATTGTTCATCRTTGATTGCAAAAACTTTTGTAATGAATAAAATCTAAAAGCAGGAAGCTGTTTTATTAGTGATGCAAAACATGCAGACTTTTTGATGGTCCTGGATTGAGTTACACAATCAGATGAGATTGATTATTCATTAGGGTGGTAAAGCCCTTACTTGGTGCTGTTTTATAAAGGATAGGGAAAAAAAAGAAAGAGGAAGGTAGTGAAGACAAGAGTGTTGTTAGAGGAAAAATCATTGATGCAGATTAGAAAATTATAAAAAGGCAAAATGTAAACTGAAGAGTTAACCAAACCCAACCTAAAGAAAAGATAATGATAATAAAGGAGAGGAAGGAAATGAAACCACTAGATGGATTTGCTGCTTTCCTATCAGGTGGGCCAGAACAAAATTGCAGCGTCAAAACTTGTCCTCGTTTGAAGAAACAAAGCGAGATTCTGGGCATGGGGGCACTTGGGATGTCCATCCCCTGCAGAAGTAGAGCAATGTGCCCTGCTCTTGTTATGAGTGGGTAGTTTAAGTATTTCTGTAGCTGTGTAAAGCTYTTACAGTTCACACTTCACTTTGGCTTCTCTGTTGGAGCAGAATTCAGACACACATACATCTGCAGTAATCACATTCGACAAGTTGGAGCACAAATGTGCCCAGTTACTTGATTTTTGTGTGGTTTCCAGTCTCACCTGAAGCCCTAAAATTGGCTGGATTCACATAAGATACAGCAACGCTGTCCTGGGTTGGAGATTTGAAAATAATGTGTCGTTTTTCTTCAGAACATTTTTTATTCAGCCACTCTATACTGATAAACTCAGGGACCAGATATAATTAAGAGCAATTGTGAAATGGTTCAGTGGAAGTTGGACATGTCCTAAAAAGCAAGGAAGGGGGCAGAGTGAAGCAAGGACTGCTTTTCCTCAAAAATCCCTACATAAATAACAGATAAAACTCATTCTTCATAGCTCCCTGCCTGAGCCAGCTGATCAAGGAAGAGCATTAATCAGACCAAGAGGAAACATCTTCTGCCCTGAAAGTTCCCTACAAAAACTAGTTTAAGCAGCGACACAGCGGGGATGTACAGATTAGCTTGGGGGAAATGACTGACCTAAACCAATTAGAGGCATGGTTTTTATTTTTCATGGTGGTATCTGTTTTTTCATGCAGCAAGCCGAGTGAGAAATGCAGCAGCACAGGTCTCTGTCTGCCCATGTGTCCTCGTGGCAGAGGGACAGAATGAAGAGGGGACTCGGCCTCCTCCTTTGGCTTTGCTATTGGAATTGTGTACCAAGGACAGTCCTTCCCAAGACACAGATCTACTGGGACCAGACTGAAACCACTAACTTCTTTCAAGCAGGAATTGTTTAGCCATCAAACAGTAACAATTTAGGCACTGTTGCCCGGGGCTGGATCCAAACCAATTCTAAATCCTGTATTCTGTCGTCATTCCCCTCAGCCATGCAGTCCCATTTGGCGAAAAATTCCAGAGAGGGGTCTGTGGAAACTCTGTCCATTCAGTCACGAGGTGACATCTCAGACCAGACATCCCTATAAAGGCTGTGAAGACTGTCTTTATTCTCGGGAGATACTTTCCCTCAGGTTTCTGATGGGATTCGAGTTAAACTTTTACTGTTTCAATAAGCTGCAAATTCTGTATTCTGGAGGGCAAGCAGGCTGAGATCTTGGCATCAGTTCCATGTAGCAGTGTATAGAGAATGCTTTGACTGATTTATTTGCTGAATACAGCTGCTTTGTTTTGTTTTAATTTCTTTTTTTTTCACCTGGGGCGTGCTGCCCTTGGTCATTTGTAATACCCCGTAGCACTGGCATATGCAGTGAGTGGTTCTGCTTGAACACTGGCTGGCCTATGGCCGCAGAACCTCTCTCTCCATACCCATATATTTATATATAATATGGACTTATATATCTGATACATATTTTATATATATAATATGGACTTCTTTCTCCCTATATGTTATTAAGGTTCCGAGCAGCTGTTGGATGGGCTGGCCCCGCTCTAGTGTCTGACGTGTTACTGATGTGTTACATTCACCCTGTAAGAGCTCTGGGGCCAGACTCGTACTGGGGCCAGCAGCCCCTCGGCCTGAGGAGAAAAGCAGCACTCGGCCTCCGTGCGGAACACCTAACCCATCCCCGCAGCAAAACGCCGACCGGGCTGCGTGGGAATCACCAGGTTCCTGCAGCCACATCCTCCTGGGCCGCAGGAAGCTGCGGGCAGGGCGGAATAGGCAGGGTACCCACGTTAAGAGAATGAGAGAGGGAAGGGACCCCCCTTAAGAAAACACCCAAAGCAAAATAGGTCCTCTCCTCCTTTATTGTCACAAATTTACTATTCCCATGGCATAAAGAAGGGATAATGCTTTTTTTTTTTCCCCCTTGTTAAATTCATTTTTTTTCTGCACAATTGTTTTTTGTGTTTTTTTGGGGGTGAGAGGATTTTTCTTTTTTTATCACAAGCAAGGAAGAATCACTACCATTTAAACAATTAGGTACTCCAGATCGTACAGACATTTCTGCTCATCGTGATCTTCTCTCCCTTATTCATCTAGTTGAGGGACAACTAAATGCAGATCAACTAAACAGGATGGATTAGAAGGTACTCAGTCTTTAGTATCTTTGATTTTCAAGGTACTGCCAGTAGAGACCAGCACGAGTCAGAGGGTCTGGGTAGGTCTCTCCCTAGGTCACACTGCTCAGTTTTACCGTGGGGAATCCAGAATTCTGCAGGAGGCTCTTTTGAAATAGCTAGAGCATGTAAACATTAGCACGAACCTGGATTTCTATCTGTACCTCTCTCTTTGGAGCAAATGAATGCCAGTTATTCACTCAGTGTATATTCACGGGTTTTTTGCATTCATGAACTCACAGAGTTTGGTGAAGAGTCTGTATTCATGGTATTAATTAGCGGTCTTTTCCCTTCCTAGGGCACTGCTCAGTATTTCTTGTGCTCAGTAACTCACAGAATCCAACCATCAAAAACTTTTTCTTGCAGGAACATCAAAGGACTCATTACTGTAAAATTTTGAAGTAAAAATCATCTCCCTGTGTTTTTACTGGGGTGTCTGGTAAATTTAGACACTGGCACATAAACCTGTGACAAAACCAATTTTCTACTGGATATCCCTCTACTACTTTTGATAGGTAAAAATCTCAAATTGGCATTTGCCTCATCCACACTATTACTGTGCAGTATTTAAGCCCAGGCAAATTCCCTTAGAAGACAGAAAGTCCCGCTGACTTCCACAGGAGCTGAAAGTCTGCTAAATACCATGTCAGTTCTGACACAACAAGAGGAGGTTTTTGTCAGGGTTATTATTCTACGAGTTGTTTCATAAGCTTTACAAAGGCATCATGGAAAGAAAATGTTCCTGTTGCCATCCCCTCCATGAGAAGCACCATTGTCTTCATAATTTGCCTGCTTGAAGCTGAGGACTTACACAGTGCATTTTTGACATTTTTTCGTCTACGTTGGTTTTATAAGTTGCAATAAGTTCCCATCCGCCAAGTGCTTCCAAAGCGCCTTGGCGTTTAACCAATTCAAGAAGCTTGCCATGAGGATTACACACCAGTTGTGCTTATTCAAAACAATAACTTCTGACCACTGCACCAAAAGAAAAAAAGCCCCTTTCATTGTCTCCTAATCATGTTTCTCTGCAATGTTAGCTCCGCTTTTGCCAACGAGCAGGATGCCCCTTTGATTCTTTACAAATATTTCAGCTAAATCTCCTTAGCACTGGGCAGTTCTTTGGCTCCTTGGGTTTGGTTTTGTTTGTTGAAAGCTCTTGTTTCAGTTCAGGCTCTGCCGAAAACCAGAGTATTGCTGGAATTGTTAAAGAAGTAGGGCCATAGGAAAAAAAAAAATGCCTGCTTGGAAGCTTTTGGAGATTGGTATTCATGTAGCAGCTGGAGATGAAACATACAGCACTGATCTTGTCCAGTTGCTCCTGGTCATGTTGCACATTCAGGAAATTTATAATTAGGTGGTTATATCCCCAGCGTTTCCCCTGCAGCACTCTCACCAACTAGCAATTTATCTTCTTTCTTGTCATTTAAAAAAAATAAAGAAAAAAAGACTACAAAGGAAAAAGAGGAGGAGACCATACAAACAGGAATGACTTAAAACACGCTTAATAGCTTTTTCTCACTTAAAGAAAAAACAGATGCTGGCATTTGTGCACGTACCAGCAAACTGAGGCTGATCCTTTGCCCTCTTCTATCACAGGATTTTTCCTTCACACTGTATCTCCTTCCTAATCAGGGTCTTTTTTTCTCAGACATTTTTTCCCTTTTCCTAGCCAGTTATAGAGACACTTTCCTCTGAAGAGTAGCCACACCTGGTAATTAAGAAATAAATGCTTTAGTAAGTGTTTATTTTTCTCACTGAATAGAAGCGCCATATGTGGAATTTCATTCCTAGCTCCCCAAATTTCTTATTAATTCCTACAGAATTTCTGCTCATTATTTTTACTCTCTATTTCTATCATGAAAGTCTTTCCCTGCACGTTAAAAATCTTAATACTGCATATTATAGACCATGTTTTGCAAAAATTCCTAACAACTTAAAACCAATCTAGGATAAAAATTGGAGCTTTATTTTTTTTCTTGCTTGTATAGTTTTTAATTAACAGCAGATAAGGCTGTTTTATATACAAAAATATGCAATTTAGGGATTTCTGTATATTGAACAATYGAGGAAAAACAATGTCATCTTTGGAGTTAAACTATACCAAAGACTCAGCAGATTTGTCCAGCAACAGCAGATTAAATTCAAAGTAACTTCGGGGCAGAGGCGGGAGGTTAAAAAACATTATTACAGAGTTTTCCAAAAAAGTAGTTTTTAAAAAGCATCTGGAAAAAAAATAAAGACAACTCAGTTAACTTTACAAGTTATGGAGCTTGTTGGAACCTAGGATTAGGAAGCTATGACCATGGTTTATTTGGGAGCTAACCCCTCCCACCAAGCTCATAATGTTTGCAGTAAACACATAGATAACTTAAAAACAATGAAAATCATAAAGCTCCGTGGTGCTGGAACAGACCCTAGGTCCAGCCCTRGGATCACACGCCTATAATAAATCTGAGTGCGAGGTTAAGAACAGCTCACCCTCCTTCCAGTCCTGCTCCTGACACTTTCTCATTCCCAGGAACTTGGTGCCCACTGCTGTGCACTCAGCGTTCATGGGACAGCTGCCAAGTTTCCCTTTTCTTCCAGACTTTTCCTAAATGTATTTYTTAGTCAAAAATGCAGCAGGCACCTACCTAGATAGGACCCATTTTTCTAGCCCGCAGTGATGATCATCAAATCCCTGATAACAGGGAAGGGGGTTGTACTCGTGTGCAGGCAGAGGGCTCTCCCCATTCATTAGCCCTACAAATACTAAGGCTCTTTGAAAACACTATGGAGAGACATAGCAGTTGTTCCAAGAAGCAAGACAAATTTCCCCAAAGCTTTAGACTTTTTTCAGGAAAACAAGTTTCATTATCCTAAGTGGCAGACTCTTCTAAGAAAAAGAAAAACAAATGTAAGTCATCAAATTTCAATATATTACCTCAAAATGCATGACCTTTAAGAAAATTTCATGTTAGATTCCGCTCCATCACTGACTCTTGTTTCCTAAATGTTCCCCCAGATTGCATAGAAATGGGTAATATATAGCTTTGAAAAAGCAATCAAGCTATAAAAATGGTTTACCAAGTTGATAATTTTTCCAGGCTCAAAATGTTGTGCCTGGGATCAGTTGTCTGTTTCACRTTGCTAAATATTTGAGCATGGAATACAAATGTTTGGTACGGCCTTGGAAAACTCCCTTTGTGGAGCTGTGCCTCAGGCTAGTGTGATTTTAAAAGTAATGTTTATTTTAAAATTCCGTGCCTTCTTTAATCTGCAGTAAATAGCCAGGCTTAAACTGTCATCTTTTATCACACCCAAATTCTGCCCACCTTCTGAAAACTTTAACAAAATACAGATCTTGCAGCAAGCCCTAGAGATCAACAAAACCTCAAAACTATTTTTGACTTGGGGAGGAGCAGCGGCTGTAACGAAGCCAACGTAGGCAATGTATGTTCTTAGCTCCTCTTGTGTACATCTCCACGCTGAGCTGAAATGGTCTCTTACACAAGTAGGTTCTGAGCCTGGTTCAGGGGTGGACAACTCAAAGATGAGCTTATATTTCACTTGCAACCTGACCGCAGACCCACTGCAGAGCTAGATGCACAACCATAGTGTGTTAAAATGAGAAGGCAAGTGGATTTTTCCCTGGTTTCYGCCTCTGGTTTTAAGTCTTGAAGATTAGTATGTATTACACTAATCTTGACATGCCGGAAAAGCAAATAGAATAACTTCCATTACCCACGCATGGATTAAGTGAGGCTTAATTGACAGATATTTATTAAAGTGATTTGTGATCTCCAAAAACACAAGTTGTTACAAAAGAAAGGTGTCATGTAAATGCCAAACATTACTGTTATGATGTACAAGGAATGCCATACACAGTAAAGGTTAATTAAATGTTATAGATCTTTTAGAAAGACTGAAGAAACTCTATGTGCATTTCATAAATCTCTCATTTCCCTCTGCTGAATTATTTCAGCTTTAGAAATGGAGTTGTGAAATAAAGAGCCATCTCCCTGGGGCTGCAGTCTCAGCATGGCACCAAAGCAGAATAAACTTCATGAGTGTCAAAAAAATCTCTGCCATGCACTGTGAAAGGTTGTTGTATGTTACTGTGATGGGCAAAAAAATACTTCAAATTGTGTATACTAATAGGTGGCTGTATGCATGTGGCTTACGCTACCTTGCCCGTGACAGCCCTTGGATAACTATGGGAAAGGGAAAAGATGCTCCAGGATGTCACAGCCTCCTGCAGGCTCCATCTCCTTCTATCAAGGTTGTAAAGCCATGGTTGCATGAGCATCAATGCTGCATTTGTGCACGTTCAGCTTCCCTCTCAGCACATTTATCCCAGAGCAGGCATTCCTGTTGGAGCTGTCAGCGTGTGTGATGCAGTTCACGTCAAGTTGATGCCTTTGTGCTAACCCTGCATCTGCTCTAGGATGTGACACATAGCAGGTAGGAACTGAKGGACAGGCCTGATCTGGCAGCAAGCCTAGCTCTTCAAAATTAGTCTACCAGATTTTTTTTTAAATGAACTGGAAATGGCAGAGGGAGTTTAAACAACCAAATAAATACTTGGTGTCAGATAGCAGCACATCTTAAATCCCTGTCCAAGAGTCAAGTTTATCACGTCATCACACCACTCCCTTAGTCTTATGATTTTTTTTTTTTTTCCAACTGCAAAATGGGGAACATAGCATTTCTGTGATGGCATTCACATAAACACTGCGTGGAAACATGAAACAACTTGGAACCAACACTGGACTGATACTGATCATTTCTTCTGCCCAGCACCRAACTCCGCACAGATTTACCCCAAAGTGCATCAACCCTCCGAGATGTCAGGGGCAGGTATTTATATTTAACATAAACCATAAGATATATTAAAAATAGCACGTTCAAAGCAGACAAAGTGCAAGAACAAACTGCTCACCCACCAGTTCTGGAAACATGCACCCACTTACCTGTGTTATTGCACACCCTCACACTGAAGCGTTCAGGGTGATCCAGTGAGCACAGGCAGCGGCGGAGCCAAGAGGGAAACCCCTGGGAACACGTTTGTGTTTGGCATGTATTTAACAAAAAGCAATGAGAAATACAAGGTTAATTTCAATAAGTGCTCAACATAGACCACATCTTTCTTTAGATTTCTTCTGTAATAGTTTACTTGGAAGAGAGAGAACTATAGTTAGCCTTGTTGGGGAAAGATTTGACCTTTAGATAATTATTTTTTAAGTCTCAGTAACTCGTATCTTTTTACAAGTTTGAACTTGATCCTGGAGACTGCTCAGTTCCGCTCCCTGACTGACTGTCCGTGACAGCATTTTAGCAGCTAAAAGACAGCACCTAAATATTTTAATGTAATTCAATAAAGACAAAAGAAAACTCATTGAATCCATAAATTACGCATTCAAAACTCCCCAAACCCTACCTGTGTAAGGCAATGCAAATGTTACATTCTAAAGAGCCCAGAGAGCCTGATAAAGGAGAGGAAAACAAGTACACTTTTTGTGATATATTGATGAAATGACTTTTTATTTGGAGCAATGGAGAGGTTAAGAGAATGCAAGCCAGGACTTGGGGAGGAATAACCCTGGACACCAGTACAGATTAGGGGTGGACCTGCTGGAGAGCAGTCCCGCAGAGAGGGACCTGGGTGTCATGGTGGACAACAAGTTGACCATGAGGCAGCAGTGTGCCCTGGTGGCCAAGAAGGCCAACGGGATCCTGGGGTGCATTAAGAAAAGCGTCTCCAGCAGGTCGAGGGAAGCGATCATCCCCCTCTACTCAGCCCTGGTGAGGCCACATCTGGAGTACTGCGTCCAGTTCTGGGCTCCCCAGKACAAGAGGGATGTGGAGCTGCTGGAGAGAGTCCAGCGCAGGGCTACCAGGATGATCAGGGGCCTGGAACATCTGCCCTATGAGCAAAGGCTGAGAGAGCTGGGYCTGTTCAGCCTGGAGAAGAGSAGGCTGAGGGGGGACCTGATCAGCGTGTATAAATACCTCAAGGGAGGCAGTGAGGAGGAGGGGGGCGGCCTCTTTTCAGTGGTGGGCAGGGATAGGACTAGAGGAAATGGCTTCAAACTGAAGCATCGGAAGTTCCACAGGAACTTAAGGAAGCATTTCTTCACTGTGCGGGTGACAAAGCACTGGAACAGGCTGCCCAGAGAGGTTGTRGAGTCTCCTTCTTTGGAGATCTTTAAAAGCCGCTTGGATGCAGCCCTGTGCCACGTGCTCTAGGTGACCCTGCGTGTGCAGGRGGGTTGGACTCGATGACCTCTGAGGTCCCTTCCAACCTTCGGCATTCTATGATTCTATGACAGTGAGAGGGGAAGACACTTTAGCCAGGAAATTTTAAAATACACTTGTTAACACCTAGTTCAAAGGCTACCAAACATTATTAGTGATGTTTTCCTTAAAACAAATGTATTTCTACTGCCTTTAACTAAAAGTAAGAGCACATGCACTGCCCAGTAAATACAGCACGTGGGAGTGCCTGCACAGCACCTGGAAGAACCAAGATAAACAGGATTTTAAACCCAGGATGAAACAAAATGGTCTTTTGCAGCTTCCTGATTAACTCCACTAGTGAAAACAAGCTGCTTAAGGGAATAATGAGGTTTCTTTGGATGAAAGATGCAGATCTAAATCCATGCCCCCTAAATGAAAGGCAGAAAACAGCCAAGCCTGTGATATTTCTGCGCTGCTTGGGACACAGCCTGGCTGGGCTGAGCGTTACCCCCAAAGCCTAGCTCAAGCTGTAGTTTCTCTGGGCAGAGGCTTTAGCAGCAGCTCAGGCTGAAGACACTGCCGGTCCTCGCTGCCCGCTCCCACCTTCACGCGCTGCCCTCCTCGTTGCGCTGCTCCAACTGCTTTTTGTATCAGTGAATCAGGTCAGGAAATTGATCTGGCTGAAAAACAACATTCCTAAAGCTGTTTTCTTTCTTTGTTTTTTCTTTCTTCCAGCCAGTTAACACAAGACACAAGCAGCTGTGGCCCAACGGCAGGGACAGAGTGCTCCATCACCCGGGCAGGGGTGAGTGGAAGGAGAGGACGCTGCTCAATAAGCCGGCACCGCTGCCAAGCGCAGGCAGTGACACAACTCGGAGCYGTGTCGCACGCAGATAGGCATCACACATCGCATTCCACCACGGAGAGGCAATTCTCCTCTAGTTCAAATACAAGGGGCTTGTGGGTTTAGGATGGGGAAGGCTGAATTATCCCTTTTCTCTTGCCGTGCCTTTCTGAGCGGCTGCAACRCGCAGCTGGCGACAGCCACGAAACCCTCCCTGGTCACTAATCCTCTACCTGCTCCTATGGATCACGGCCACCAAGCGCACACATCGCCTGCAGCSGTTTCTGCCGGGAGGCCGCCCGGCTGCTGCAGCGTGAAGATAGAGCCCTGCTGATAAGGCAGCAGTGCCGCGGGAACGTTACGGCTCTCGCCCACAGCCGGAGTCACAGGCTGCTGCCGCAGTTCCTTCTTTCCTTCCCCCCGGAACACGTGCATGTGCTCACATGCGTTGTGCAAGCCACACGCTGCCGAGGTCAGGGAGGCTTCCTGCTTCTACACCCTGATTTACCCTGCCTAGATGCTACTTCCATGTGTTTTCTAAGGCTTAAATGCCTTTCGATGCTGAGATAAAGCAGAAAAAAAACAGGGAGGTAGGGATCCCATGGGCATCTGCGCAGGAGCAGCCTGGTTACAGGAACCCTGCTTGTTGTAGATGCATGGTATGTATACATAGGTGCTCCTGCATCCTTAGCCTGCTGTTTTTGCYCTCTTTCTCCATTACACCTCGTTTTTGAGGAGAACTCCCCTATTTTCCCTGCRGTCTGTTAGACATCTTATCTGCTCAACTTATTGTCCAGATTCTTGGCACTTTCTCCAAGTTCAGTATTGTCCAGATTCTCCACTTTCTCCCTTATGGATGGGGTGCCCGTTCAACTATAAAACTCTCTTCTGGTAGAGTAAGTTGGGTGGTTACTTCATGCCAAATCTCTTGTGATATAATTGTGAACCACACAGCAGCTCACGGTGGCACCGAATGGTGACAGCCTGGTGCCACCACAGCAGCAACTTTCCAAAGAATTTTTTAGGAACGTACATTTGCATTTCCCTGCTTTTCCTGTAAGCTGACATACAAATATGTAGAATACCCAAAAAGATCTTATTTCTGAATGTTTGAGAAGTCAGGCATCCTTCATGCTGTATATGGTTCTTTCTTCTGCACATAAACCTGGAACTAATTCTCCCTCAGGATAAACTTCTCTGCAGGTGAGAGTTTTTCAGGACTTGAAACATCTGGTGAAAAGGGCACAACAGTTTCCCTATACATCTCAAACTCTTCCAAGAAGAGTAAAAAGGCAAGAATAATAAAAACAAAACAAAAAAAAAATCACTGAGAGCAGCCAAAAACTTGCTTTGAAAGAAATCCCACATGGAATGATGGAAATGTTTGGAAGGGAGACTTCCCTGGGGTGAAAAGTGTTGCTCAACTGCAGCACTGTTTGAAATGACCTGCCTGTGTCCCAGGTCAGCACAGTGCTGGTCACCCATGCAAGTTTGTAGCCAGTATCAGTGGAAACAGGAGTACCRACTTCTCCAGAGCCACTGTCTCCTCTACCCACGCCTTTTCCTTTATTTCTGGAACTAGTTCAGAATTAGTTGTCTATTCAGAGTTTAAATAAGTGACTAATCGTGAGAGATATTCAAGACCTGCTCAGACACAATCCTGTGCCACACGCTCTAGGTGACCCTGCATGTGCAGGGCAGTTGGACCAGACAATCTCTAAAGGTCCCTTCCAACATTATGGATTCTAAGGGACACACTTTTCTGTGCTGTTGCCCTAAGTTCTCCTTAATGTCCATGGCTGTCCTTAATCATCTGTCTCATTATACTCATATTGGTGAGTCACAGCTGAGAGTTAYACATGTCTCAGGGGAGCTGCAGGGACATAGCGGAGTATTGCTACGTTATTCTTCTGTGCTTGTTACAATAAGAGAAAATCCCAAAGAGCAAAAGGCACATAGAAGACACTCTGCTTTTTTACCCTTCTTTCCAAATTCTGCCAGCTGGGTTAACTTTCTAATGGTATTATTTACTGTAATATTATCTCTCAAGTTAYGGGTCCTAGAGGCCTTTCACCCTATAATATTTCAGAGCTTCTCCTCTTTATCAAGAGGGTTAGACAACAGCATTGCATGCAACTGGGGCAGACTTCTCTGATGTAATTATGCCCTACCTATATCAAGAAGTGACCTACCCAAATCACTCACTGTTTAGGCTCCCACCAACTTGTTTGGGTGCCCCAACTCAAGGCAAAGCTGCAAAAGCAGAAGGCAATTAGCAAAGTTCCTCCTGACCTTCCGCTATCTGCGGATGAGGAGGCACAGGTCCATAAACTCAGTGTTTAGTTAAAACATAACTGCTGGTACTGCTAAGTGCATAACGAGGAAAATGAGGAGAGATCAAAAGACTTGCTTCTCGCAGATTTAATTTTCTTCCTCATCTTTGCACTTTGATCGTAAACACTGCAATTCCCCCTCTGCCCTCCTGTTCCATACACTGAAGATTAAGTTGGGAAATATTTTTAGAAGAGACGTGAGTATACAGAAGGGAGTATTAGACTGTGACCTTCTAGCTGCTTCTGAAATTTTTGAAGGCTACATGGCAAATGTTCTTAGTATTTCCAAATTCCCAGAAAGAAAAGGAGATTCATAGATTGATCTTCATTAATTTAAGTGTACAAACTATTTGGCCTCATATGTTTATTCCGTCTCTGCCTCTCATGCCTGCACACCCAGAGTAAAGCCAACACATATATTCTGAGCCCTGAAACAGAGATAATGAATCCACAGTATTGCCTCAATAGTTATTGGCACGGAATGAAAAGTAAACAGCAAAACAGGAAAAGGAAGGCTGAAACTAGATTAAACAGATTGCTGCATTCAAGAGTGTGCAGTCATCTGGGAACTTAATGAAAAAGGAGTTGAAGAGAAAGTTAAAACAAATAGCATACAGGCCTCTCTTGTATTTAAGAAA